TTTTTTTTTTTTGTTCGCATATTCAGAATGGGATCTAAACCATAGCAACATGTCTAGCAACAGTTGTTCCTTTAGGCATTCAAACTTAAAGATAACATGGAAAAAGAACACCGAGCAATATTTTCGCTTATTACCTAATTTATGAGATTGTGATTTAATATTTGTTGTAGGGGGATGGCTCGTGGCATGGTGGATGCTTGGCATTGGCGGAACTGGCTCGCAGAGGATTGCTCTTACCAATCAGTTTTTCTAAGGTTGTTCCTGTCATCATAAAGGTACAAATTTAAATTTTAATTAAGGTACAGGCTTGAAGAACACTTGAGCTGTCTTATAGTGGCATGGTGAATTAGTATAGCAGTCCCTAAAATTGCTGTCAAACTTTTTCCCTTTTCGCCTCAAATCAAGAGCATTGGTTTCTTGTTATACATATTACTCTTTGCTTGTATATTGACCTCCATTTTGGCCGATAAAGATACATACACATGTCTACTAATAGATAATTTTTTATTTTTTTTTTTGCCGTTTGAGGAAATTTGATGAAGAAAGTTTGCCACAGGCTTTACATTACGATATTCGAAGAGGTCCTCATAGTGTGGGATCTCATGTACGTGATGCTGCGGCATATGTTTGCTGGGCCTTTGGCCGTGCATATTACCATATGGACATGAAAGATGTGCTCTCACAACTCGCACCACATCTTCTAACTGTGGCATGCTATGACCGTGAGGTGCTTACATAACAGTGATTTCTTTTTGTTCTTGCTGAAATGAGGCTGAGCGTATGAGCTTAATGCTTAGGTTAATTGCAGAAGAGCAGCTGCCGCTGCTTTCCAGGAAAATGTAGGGAGACAAGGAAGTTTTCCTCACGGCATTGATATAATAAATACGGCTGATTATTTTGCACTGTCTTCCCGTGTAAACTCGTATCTTCACATTGCTGTTCATATTGCTCAATATGATGACTACCTTCATCAATTTGTGGATGTGCTACTTCAAAGTAAGATCTGTCATTGGGTATGTTCTGCCTGGCTTCCATGTAATCTTTGATTTTATTAATTATTTAACTTTCAAATCTTCCCATGTTAGATTTTGGTGCCTACTGAAGCTTTATTGGCCGTGAAGTTTTTACATAAACCATTATCCTGCCTTTTTTGCCTTTTCCATATATCAAACAGACACACAATAGTAGAAATAGAATACAGGTTGCTTTGAAGTTCAAAACTGTGGATTAGTCAATCATTTTGGCTTTATTGCTCCTTTCTAGTTTGAAACCCAGTTCATTGGCCCCATGAACTCCATTCTGGGTTGCAAAACAAACTTGATGGCCCTCCATTCGTTGCTGCACTCCAATACAAGCTCTCAACATATTTGCTTGCAACTGTCATTACTATGATGTATCCCATTTCCTTTATTAATATACACAGCGATAGTATTTGCTTCGGTTCTCATGTTTTTGTAATTGCTTTTTAGTGTATCTAATGTTTGTGCAAATTATGTCGTATCTGTAGGACAAGAGTCTGAGAGAACTTGCTGCCACTGCACTTTCTGCTCTTGTGAAGTTTGATCCTGAATATTTTGCGAATGTTATTTTGGAGAAATTAGCTCCGTGCACTCTATCATCTGATTTATGCATGCGACATGGTGCAGTCTTGGCCACTGGGGAGATGGTTTTGGCTTTACATATGCATAACTACATTCTTTCCACAGGTACTTAAACATCATCCTTTAGTCCATATGTTGCAAGTTATTTTCATGGTTACAGCCGTTTGTCATCCATATGCAAAAGTTCACATTATATAGCTTTCTACATTAATGGTGAGGGTCCTTTTCTTTTTTATCTGTGTATTCCTTAAAGACAGCAGTAATTTCTTTGATCTTTAATGCACCTTGATAAAAAAGGCAAATAAAGGTGAATACATATAAGCTGACAACAAACTAAAATAATTGTTGCGAAGGGAAGTGGGTTTTGTAGATAACGAAACAAGTGAAACCTGAAAATGATTACATGTCTGAGGCTAGCCTTAATAATATATTTGTTATTCTGAGTCTATGAACCCACTCTTTTATCAATTAATGAAAGTGAAAACCCCTTTCAGTTTGCATGCTGTTGGAGTCTTAGATGTTTGAGACTCATTAATTACAAAAAAAAAAAAAAACAAGGAATAAATCCAGGACAGCTGACTATCCCAACAGAACCCAGGTTGCACCCCTGGTCATCAGGCTCCGGGTTGACTCTTTCGGACTGGATTTTAAAAAGTGGATTGTACATAGGGGTTCGCTCTTATGGAGCTTAGTTACACATAATATGATGCATATATTTGTTATTGGGCTCGTTTCATGCAGATAAGCAGAAAGTTGTAGCCGGTATAGTCCCCGCCATTGAGAAAGCACGGCTTTATCGTGGCAAAGGAGGAGAAATAATGCGGTCTGCTGTTTCTCGCTTTATCGAGTGCATTTCTCAAGCTCAAGTGTCTCTGACTGACAAGACCAGAAGAAGTTTACTCGATACTCTAAACGAGAATTTAAAACATCCCAATTCTCAAATACAGGTCTTTATCTTCACACTCTACACTAAATCTATTTTGACACATTTTCCTTACATCCATATTTTTTTTTGTGGCTGTTTGGTTCTGCTTTTCTAGAATGCTGCTGTTGGAGCCCTTAAACATTATATTCCTACTTATCTTGTGTCCATGGAAAAAAAGGGAGTCAATGATATTTTGTCAAGATACCTTGAACAGTTGACTGATCCCAATGTGGCTGCAAGACGTGGATCAGCTCTTGCTATTGGAGTTCTGCCTTTCGAATTTCTGGCTAATGATTGGAAATCAGTGCTTACAAAGCTCTGTTTTTCATGCGGAATTGAGGTATGTGTATGGCTGCATCTTAAGTATCCTAATTTTTCAGCATGCCACCTTCAGAAAATGTTTGAAAGAACAAAAGGAAGAAAAGACTATAGTTTATCTTCCAAAATCTAATATTCCCGTTAAAGTGCCACGAACACCCACTTAAAATTTATACAGATATTTCATCCTTGTAAGGGTGCTATTTGTACAGCAAGAAAGTAATGTGTGGGGAGTATTTGTAATTCTGGAATATAAACTGAACTTTTCCATTATTTGGCTATACTTAAGAGGTACTTTTTACAAACGCAATTGTTTCCTTTCTGATTGAACATCCAGGATAATCCTGACGACAGGGATGCCGAAGCACGTGTGAATGCCGTCAAAGGGCTCGTCTCGGTTTGTGAGACTTTAACCGAGGCAGATCAATTTTCTGTTCTAATTTCACATAAAGATGGCCGTTCCCTGTTTAACTTTATCAGGAATGAAGTGATGTGCAGTCTTTTTAAAGCTTTAGATGATTACTCAACCGACAACAGGGGTGACGTGGGTTCTTGGATTCGTGAGGCTGCAATGGATGGCCTTGAGAGATGTACTTATATCCTCTGCAAGGAAGATTCTATTAATCAAGCGTCAGTTCATGAACCCGAGAAAACTGATGGCCCCCATAGTGACCAAATTGGCTCGTATTTTGATGCCAGCTTGGCGAACGAGTTAGTTGGAGGTCTCGTCAAGCAAGCTGTAGAGAAGATGGATAAAATAAGGGAATCAGCAGGAACAATTCTCCAAAGAATCCTGCATAATAAAATGCATTTTGTGCCGAATATACCACACAGGGAAGTTCTCGAACGAGTAGTTCCGAATGAGGCTGATCTTAAGTGGGGGGTGAGTTACGTAGGGCTTAATTACAACAATACCCCTGAGGAACTCCAACTCTTAATATTTTGTCAAAAGAAAATTAGTTTCTTTTATTTATTTATTTTGTTAATTAGGCTTACCCAGGGTTAATTTTAGTAGTTAGCTCCAGAAAAAAAAAAAAAAAACCCAAATGACCCTCTTATTGCAGGTTCCATCAGTCTCGTATCCTCGTTTTATTCAACTTCTTAAAGTTGGTTGCTATAGCAAATATGTGGTGTCTGGGCTGGTTATCTCTATTGGGGGGATTCAAGAGTCTTTGGCAAAGGCATCACTCAGTGCTTTGTTAGATTATCTACAGAGTACAGTAACCAAAGGCCATGATGACTCTCGAGTGATGTCATTCTCTGAGGACATTCTGTGGGTTCTTGAAAAATTTAGAAGATGTGACAGAGTCATTATACCCACTTTGAAGGTACTTCAAACAAACTGTAACGAGAATCTATTGAGGAAAAGGTTTCTAGCTAAAATAATTAATTTGATAAATGTTGTGTTCTTACTCATCTTTCTATGTGAATATGGTTGAGAAATGCTTATAATTTTCTCCATCTCTGTTTCAGACAATCGAGACACTTTTCAGGGAGATGTTATTGTTGAACATGGAGGTCAGTATGCTATTCGATTCTTTTTTATTTATTTATTTTTTTTCATTTTTTGATTTTTTTTTTTTCGGTTGCCTATGCTTCTGTCTTGACGCGGTATGATTTTGTCAGGCACAAACTCCGGTTTTCTGTGCTAGAGTTTTGGATTCTCTTGGAGCAGAGCTGAGAGGAGCAAAGGACTTCTCTAAATTGAGGACGGGAATTGCAATACTCGGATATGTTGCTTCAATAGCGGACCCCGTCAGCAAAAGGGCATTCTCTCATCTGCTGCTGTTCCTCATCCACAGATTTGCCAAGGTCTGTGTGCTTGCAAAGGAAAATGAAAGATAAAAAGCAAATCTAACTATCTTTAAGCAATAGTTACAATATTCACTCCTAACATTCCAATTTATATAAATACACGACTATCTTTGAAAATTGCAATAACATCCTTGAATTTATGTCTTGTCCAACATTTTGCATCAGTACGACTTTATGAGCTAACCGGAACTGATGGCATCTAATATGTGGACAGTCGTATCCTTCTTCATTTCAAAATATATTACAAATAGCCCAGATTTTTGTTGTACATTTTTGCACTGCATTGCTAGATTTCTCAAAATTTTACAACTAGCCATATAAAATTATTTTTCTTGTATACATTACTTTGGAAGAGTTGATGTCACCGTGAAATATATGATGTAGGCAAAATGTAAACCGAATCACACCCACAGACAGTTCTATAATTTTTACTTGGATAGTTTACTAGCTCATTCTTCTTGGAATTATACTTGTGGTAAAAATTGCACGTTATGACCCAAAATTTTCTTTCAAGATCCGGAAATTTGCAGCCGATGAAGTTCTTGTTGTCCTACAAGCAAATGGGAACCTAATGGCCGAGGACAAACTAGATGAAGCCACAGAGATCATTACACAGACTCTCTGGGACATCAATGTAGAAGAAGCTAAGACGAGTAGGCTACAGCTCCAAGAGCTGGCCGGTCTTGAATGTCAACAAACGGTAAACAGCACACGGACTAAATCGGAAAATGATGTTGAGAGGAAACGGGCATCGGCTGACGAGAATGCTTCTTACTCCTCGTTAGTTGGGTCCGCTGGGTTTTAGGAGTGGTTGTTTTCGTTCTGTGTTGTTTTCCTGCTCAATGCTTGCTCGCTCGCTCGCTCGCTCGCTCAGCCTTTGGTGAGAATTTGATTAAGAGTTTTTTATTTTAGGAGTTTGGTAAGAGCCTTTTGGTTTGAATCTTCAATGAAACTGCAGAAATGTGATGCATTCATTTGGGATAAATGTGGTGAGGATTAAAGTTACAAACTCTTATATTCTATCTCAGTTTTCTTTCTTTTCTCCACGTGCGAGTGCGACCATGAACTGAGGTACTTGTATCATTGTATGTAGTTTTCGCAAAAATATTATGTTATTTCAGATTTTTTTTTTATTTTTTTATTTTTTTTATTTTCATTTACTTTTTCTACCCCAGTTTATTATATAGACTTTAAATTATCAGTTAAACAAATCAAACCGCTTGTAGGTATAGCTCGACTCGTTAAGGTTCAAGCCCGTGTTGAGAAATATGAATTTGTACTTGATTTCCTGAACTTAAATATGAGCTTGTACTTGATTTCCCAAACTGTTACTTTACCTTGCTAATTAATTATAATAAATGAGCCGCTCGAGTATTAGGACCTCGAGGTTTTCTCGTCCTTTGAAAATCAACCATCTTCATATTTTTAGCTATTGCAAAAAGAAAAATACTACATGTACATAATAAATGTACATAAAGATGTCCATAACACTCACATGAAATGGATCCACTTGATTTTTTAATTTTAGTGGGTCCCACTCAATGTGAGTGTTATGTACACCTCTATGTACAACATTATGTACCTATAGCATTACTCGACTGATAATATTAATAAAACACATATTTGTAAGTAGCTGATTGAAACGGTTATACAGTTAGAAAGAGACCTATAAGAATACCTAAAGCCTAAATCAACGAAACTTACGTTAGAAAGAGACCTATAAGAATACCTAAAGCCTAAATCAACGAAACTAACGTAGTCACAAACTATAATAGTAGTAATCTAAACTTCTACAAATGGAAAATTCTAACTCAAGAATAAAGGAAAGGTTAATAGAGTGACCAAGCTTCTAAGTTTTGGCCTAAGGACTATGTATTCCCTGAGGAGCCCAAGAAGTTCCACCACTCTGAAGATGAATTCCCGGTTAGCCGATACCTTGCCTGGTTAGGAGAACAGTTAGAAGTAGGAAAAGACGCCTATGTTAGAACAATGGTATTTTGATCTAAGTGGTCTTATTCTTTCTCCCGTTTACCATCCATTTCCTTTGCCCCCTGGCTATCTTTTAGAATATCAATAGCATAAGGCTCAAGAGTAAAAACATAAACACACACTAAGCAAAAACACAAAAACACTAGCTTAACTAGAATAACACCCTCCCACCATTTTGCAATCCTCTTCACAACAACACCATGAGACCGACATGCTGAGGCTTCCACCCACACGGACATAACCCTGACTTAACTTGCAGATCCAGAAACTCCAGTACAACTACAGTAACAAACCGGACCAACATTCCCTCCCAGACGACAACCCCAGACCCAAAGCCGGAGTTCTAAGCCAAACCTCCACCCCCAACCCACTGGCAAGCCTGATCACTAGCCTACACCCGCACTGCAAACATGTCTACACAATAGCAGAGAATAACATGGAAGAGTAAAAAAGGAGGAAGACGACCTCAAACCCGACCACCACAAAAGGGTTGATCGGAGCTACGTCTCGAACTAGCCACAGATCCACCAGGGCCCTGCACCAAGACTTTTGTCATAGGCGATTTAATAATGTATATGTAAAGTTGCTGTTTTAATGTGAAAGATTTTTTATGTAAAGTTGTTGTTTGCAAAACAACAACTATAGCTTATATTGTAATTACTTTTATAGCCTTGTACAACCCTAAGTATAAATAGGGCAAACTCCACCTCTGTACTCACTTTTTCAGATTACAAAATTTATGCGCAGTTTTCCCTTTTCTCTTCTCGTGTTATCTTTGTTCTTCGATCGAGCTTTACAATCTAATATGGTATCAATCGCCATCGATCCTTCGATTTTCGCTTCCGCAATCATGTTTATTTTCATCGATTGAATCTCCATCTCTAAGTTTCTATCGATTTGTTTTTTTTTTCTCATTTTTGTTCGACGATCGATCGATTATTTCTAGGGTTTTCCATCTCTGAAAACCGATTGTTTGATCTACATCTCCTAGATCTCTTGTTTCTGATTCATAGATCTCTTGAATTTTCTCTTTCGATCGATTATCAACATGGCCGCTATCGCAAACCCTACTGACGATCCTGCGTCTCCATATTTCGTCCACGCTAGTGACAATCCAGGAGCGATCATCATAGCCGAGCTGTTCAACGGCGAGAATTATATTTCATGGTCGCGAGCTGTTCTGATGGCACTCAGTGTCAAAAATAAAGGTGGATTCGTCGATGGTACTCTTCTCTCTCCTTCTCCTACTGATAACCCTAGTCTGTATGTGTCTTGGGTGAGGGCCAACAATCTGGTTATGTCATGGCTATTGAATTCAGTTTCAAAAGATATCAGGCAGTCTCTATTGTTTTTTACCTCTGCAAAAGATATCTGGGATGAATTGAAAAATAGATATGCAGTTAGTAGTGGCCCTCGGGTTTTTCAGTTAGAGAAGTCTCTTAGTACCATAGATCAGGGTTCAATGTCTATTACTCAGTACTATAACAATTTTAAGGGACTCTGGGATGAATATGTGACATTTCGACCTGTCTTTCGATGTCATTGTGGTGCTTTTGTATCTTGTACTTGCAATGTTTTTGAGTCCATGGCTAATTCTCAACAGCAAGACTGTGTCATGAAATTCTTAATTGGACTCAATGATTCATATGCATCACTCAGAAGCCATTTCCTTCTCTCATCTCCCCTACCAAATCTCACAAAAATATACTCCCTTTTGCTCCAAGAAGAATCACAGAGATCCTTAAACAATTCTACACTATCTCATGATCCTTTAGCCATGATAGCCAAAACTACTACTTCAAACCAGAAATTCCAGAAACAGACTTACCACAAAGATAAAAAGCCCAGGCCCAAATGCACCCATTGTGGATATCCCCACCCTTCTGACAAGTGCTACCAAGTTTATGGCTATCCTCCCAATTGGGTTGGACCAAAAGGCCCAAGAATACATCCTCAACATTTTGCAAACCTTTCCCATGCCACTACCACTACTGATGAGAATTCCAATCCTAATTCTGATGTATCTTCCATGACTAATGAGCTCTTTCATGAGTTTTTAGCTTTCAAAAGAACTCAAGAGGCCAAACAGTCTAATTCAACTCCTGTAGTGGCAACTGCTATTCAAGGCATATCAGGTACTCCTTACTCATGTTTAGTTTCTAAACATTTAAGTAGGAATTCATGGATATTGGACACAGGGGCAACTGATCATATGATATGTGATGATTCTCATTTTCAGTCACTTAGGCCTATTCATAATGTTAATATAAATCTGCCTAATGGACATGTTACTACTGCTATTTCTGTTGGTCATATACAACTGTCATCCACACTTGCCCTACATGATGCTTTATTGGTGCCTAGTTTTAATTTTAATCTCATATCTGTTTCTAAACTAGCATCCACCAACAACTGTGTAGTCCAATTTGTGTCCTCGTATTGCATTTTACAGGATTTGACAACTCACAAAATGATTGGTTCTGCTGAATTAAAAGATGGATTCTACCATTTGTCTCTTGATGACTCTAAGTCTTTTAATTCTGAACATGTTTCTGCTACTTGCACTTTACCTGTAAAGCATGATGTAACCTCTCATTTACCTGTAAAGCATGATGTAATCTCTCATTTACCTGTAAAGAATACTGTAAATCATGACTCCTTGGACAGTGTTGTCTGGCACAACAGACTAGGACATCTATCTTACTCTAAAATGTTGCAATTACCTATTTCTGATTCATCTTGTAAGACATTACACACTTTACCTTGTGATGTTTGTCACTTTGCAAGACAGAAGAGGCTCCCTTTCCCTGTAAGTACTTCTAAATCTTCTCATGCCTTTGAACTTGTCCACTGTGATCTTTGGGGACCATTTTCTGTTGTTTCTCATGAAGGTTACAAATATTTTTTAACTGTGGTAGATGATTTCTCTAGAACAACCTGGATTTATCCTCTTAAGAATAAATCAGACACTTCTCAAAGCATTATAAGGTTTTATAACATGGTTTCTACCCAGTTTAGCAAAAACATCAAAATTATTAGAACTGACAATGGAACTGAGTTCTTCTTGCATGATTTCTTCAAAACAAAAGGCATATTACATCAAACAAGTTGTGTTGAGACTCCTCAACAAAATGGAAAGGTAGAGAGAAAACATCAACATCTTTTGCAAGTAGCTAGGGCCATTCTTTTTCATGCTCACTTACCCCTAATTTTCTGGATAGACTGTATTATGTCTGCAGCTCACATAATCAACAGGGTTCCATCTGTATGCTCAATGGTAAGTCACCTTATGAAATGTTGTTTAACACAGCACCATCATATACACATCTTAGAGTGATAGGTTGCTTGTGTTATGCATCCACTCTCACTACAAACAGAAATGTGCAATTCTATGAGAATTTCCTCCCTTTTACACAGTCTGATTCATCTCAAAAATTTGATAAACTATTTTCTCAACCCCAACCTTTTACATATTCTGAGTTACCTGCTTCTGATATTTCTACACAAATACCTCAAAATCCTACTAGTAACACTACTAATCATAATCTTTCACCCCCTAATGTCTCTGATTCAACTACTACCTCTTCTCCTCACAGACAACAAACATCTCCTCAGTTTGTACAACCCACAACCTCTCAATCCTCTACACCTTCATCTCCTCAGTCTATACAACCTCAGCCTCTCAGAAGATCAACTAGATCTACAAAACCTCCTGCTTATCTAGACATTTATCAACATTCTTTACACCCTTCTCATACAAACTCTGCAACCATCTCAGATTGCACATCTGGGACATCACAATATCCCATTGCATCA